TTATAAATGCATAGTTAAAATTATTAATTTTGAAATCCATCATGACAGGGCAGTAATGGGTTTCCATACAGTTCAGAATAAATCAGTCCATATTTAAAGATTATTTGTTGTTATTGGTCGGTGCTAAAGTCCTGAAATGTGCTGATGCTTTCATGTGTTTTTTGTTTTTTCAGTACTCACTAACCTTAGAGGAGTTTGTTAGAATCCAACAATCACTAAGTTTAAATAACATACATTCTAATAAAGTATTAAACCTAAGGTTGTGTTTTTCACCCGTTAATTGTCACTTTTAGCAGCTTCACTTGTTGGTTGAGTTGTCTGATGTCAGAATTTCCGAGCAGCACTTGAACGCACCTGTGAGGTTTGATGAGCTTCGGTGGAGCTGATTTAAAATCTGAGTCCCGCTTGTCAGCAGCGCTCGTTTCATGCACTCATTTGGTGAGTCAGTTTCCTTTTTTTAAATTAAATAATGATTCAAATAAAACCGATCCAGCCTGAAACCTGCTGACAGAAGAYCTGAGCCGTCCTGTGTCGGCTTTAAACAGGAGTTTACCTGTCTCCGCTGCGGCTGCAGGTGTGTTAAATGGAGCTGGAGGACCAATGGTGGAAGGGACAACTTGCTGCAGACATTTATCAGGCGCTGAGACACAAAGTGAGTCACTGTTTCTGCTCAGACCACATCAAAACAACCCCAACTTCCGTTTCCCATTATCTGGATTCGTGCTTTTATTTTGTGGAGTTGATGCATTTAATCTGTGCTCTCATGTAAATTTGTTTTTTTTAGCTTTATTTGCACAGATTTGCTGAGCTCTACAGGTTGTAAGTTATTTCACATTAAAATGTTCAGGGGCAGCTCCGGAAATAATTTCAGATAATTACCAAGATTGGGGTGCAAATTTAGAAATAAATGAAGCTTAAATTGCAGTTTAATAAACTTACTTAACAGAGATAAACAAAAAATAAAATAAAACCGCAGACTTAATGCACCTAATCTGCTAAATCTTTAAAAGGAGATTATTTTCTTATTTTTCACAATCTTATAAGAATGAGTGCATCMAGGTGAAGCTCTCTGTTTACCTGTTGGTTCCTCCCCTCACCTGTGGTCGTGACCAAAGAACAAGCAGTCTAAATGTTACAACCTCCTCATACTTTATCTGTATGTTAAACATTAAAGGGATCCCTGATTAGTTGTAACATTAGACTTTATTTGATATAGTTTAACTGTAAAATAAAGACTGTAAAAATACTGTAGTCTCTTTAGTTTTGT